AAGAGAAATGAGAAATTGGCACCAAGGTACTTCGGCCCCTATGAAATCTTGGGCAAGATTGGGGCAGTGACATACCGACTGAAGTTGCCCCCATCAACAATCATACACCCAGTGTTCCATATGTCTCAGTTGAGGAGAACTATTGGGAAGCATGCAGTGAGTACGGAATTACCAGAGACCCTGACAGAGGAGTTGGAAATGATATGGGAACAGCTGGAGCTACGAGGCGTCAGATCAGATAAACAGGGAGAGAAAGAAGTGCTGATTGGATGGAAAAGTCTGCCCGAGTTTGATGCGACGTGGGAGCCCTTTGAAAGAATGAAGGAACAATTCCCTTCCTTCCACCTTGAGGACAAGGTGAATCTTTGGGAGGGGAGTAATAGTACGTCGGCCCAGGAGGGCCGGCTAGACCGGTCCAGTTCTACACCCGGCAGCCCAGAGCCGGGCGGAACCAGGCAGAGGGGGGGGGGGGAAGTGTTGGGGGGCCCATGCATGAGTTAAACACATTGTTTGGAGGGAAGTTTTGAATTAGAAGGGTGTTTAGGGAATTTGTATCCTTCCTTTAACCTTAATTAGGGAGTAATGAGAGAATTAGAGTTTTTATCTTGAATTTGAATTGTCATTTGAGATCTAGTTTTTATTGCTTTGGGCTCTTGGCGTTGCCGGAGATTTGGAGAGTTGTTCTTCCTCTCGGATCGAAGAACATGGTATCGTTTGCTATTTTTATTCATTCACTAGAGGAATACAAGTGTTTGCTTGGTTTTCTCTCAGATTTTCTCCAATTTTCCTCTGTTTGGGTGCAGTTTTCTCTGTCAACAGCAGAATTTCTGCTGTTGCTCATCCGTTTTGAATAAGTTTGCTTGCGAACTCAAGTATTACCTTAGGGTTACTTGAGGACTCAAGTATTTCCTATCAGTGACACAGTACAATAAAAGTGTGCAGAGTAATGCATAAAAAAATGTGACACATTATGCACTTTTTGATGCAAATATAAAATGAATCCACCCACTTTGAAAGGATGTGAATTAATTTTTAGTTTAGACATAGTCCATATCCGTCTTCAAATAAATGTCATCATGCATAGAATTTGATTGAGAAATCTAAAATGAAGTGCATAGTTTCTTTTTTTAAATCACAAAAGTATGAAAAAATACGATAAAAAAAGGCAAATAAAAATATTTTCGAGAAAAAGTAAAAACAAAAATACCCAAAAATACAAATATGGGTAACAAAATGGAAATCAAAGAAAAATACAAAGCCAGATTTTTTTATATATATATTTTAAATAATTTAAATACAAAGCTTGGTCAGTCAGTATCAAAGAATGATATTAGGGTACTCAACATAGATACCCATCGTTAAGAAGTCACACCTAATAAAGATATGAAAAAAAAAAAGAAGAGACAAGAAAATGAAAATAATATAATATTCTATCAATCCCAAATTACAAGTCAAAACCTCAGAGGAACATCGAAAAGAAGAAGAAAAAAAAAATTAAGGCTTGACCTCTCCGAGGGACCCAAAATGAGATGATCTCAAAAGTCGAATCAAAAGATGAATGTAATCATTCCACATCACAACCATCCCACGTCACCTCAATTATCATAAAGGCTTTGTTAAGGGCAACAGTCTAAGGTTAAAGTACTTAATCAGCTTTAAGGAGATGGTAATCATATTCAAGGTCAAAAATCTATAAAACCACAAACTTTCTAAAGTTATAAACAATTCATGAAGCAACCACATCCTCAAACTCGAATGGTTAGCCTTCTTTGGGACCTAGACAAAGAACAATCGGCTTGGTCCCCATTACCTAGTAATGAGAGGTATATGCCAACGAAAATGGGGTGTTGCAAACATCTTCATATTGATTCATGTTGAAATCCAAATATAATGATAAGTACAGGCCAAGGGGTTCAAATGCATAACATGCTAGATAGTGGGCAACAACGCTTAGCAACCATAATAGAATCATCAACTTATGAAATCTTAATAAAGGCCAACTCAAAACCATAATCAATGATAGATTTAAGGAAGTCATGGCTTGCAAGATTATTGAAAAACAAGTATAAATAGGCCATTTTTATCAAATGGGTGACAATTAAAAGTAGCGTCATAAGGGTACTTCATTCCGAAAATCAAAGGATTTAATGAGATCAATAACTCCAAACCATTTCTAACATAGTTTAAGGAGACTTGCAATAGCATTGGAGGAAATGACATCTTCCACTTTAATTTCATCGATTCATCCAATGGACAACTTGAAACCATAATCAATGATATATTTAAGAGAATATTTGTGAAATAAGCTATATCTAGTACACATCTAATCAGAGTGATCATTGTCAATCTCACCAATATATATATATATATATATATATATATATATGTGTGTGTGTGTGTGTGTATGTAAAAAAAGATAAGATATGAAACACAACTCCACTCTTTTCCAAGAAAACTCAACCAAATCTTCTTTAAAGTTGGTTAGAGGCCAAAATTCAAAGAAGAAATCAGTCAAACAACAAGAAAATTAAGAAGGGTCCAAATTTAGGTTTATCAATCCAATTCCTCTACATGAAGGGGTATAAAATATCAACCCAGTAGGGCATGACATCAATTGTCCTCAATTTCCTAAAAAAGAGGTCCAATTTTAGCTTTGAATATATAGCTTCCCAATGAATGGAATAGTAAAAATATCAAACCAATAGAGCAAAGTACTTCGCACGCCCATTTAACAAAGCATAAACATTCGTCATCCCTCATATTAGAACCACATCAAGATATCAAGAAGGGCACAATTTCAGCTATGTTGATCCAACTTTCTCAAAGTAGAGGAGCATAATATTAAACTAGTAGGATATCATCTTTATTGAACCTTACTCTCCACCATTTCAGCCACGTTGATCCAACTTTCTCACAAGTAGAGGAGTATAATATTAAACTAGTAGGACATCAACTTTATTGACCCTTACTCTCCACCATGAGTCACTCAACAAAGCTAGAAGAGTGTTTCAAATGGCATTTTAGCATAGCATAATCATCGAGATTCAACCTCAAAAATCTTGAGACCCATTTGTGGAAGTAGCAATAGTAGAGATGGGTTATTTATATATATTTTTTTCTCTAAAATTATTCCCTCTTTTAGATGAATGACTATAGAAAAATAGATATAAAAAATATTAACCCTCTTTTGGGAGTGAGATAAAATATATATATATATATATATATATATAAAAGAAAAATAATGCCAGGGATAATCACGGAAGACACGCCCAAGTTACACCCAAGCCTAACTATGCTTGTGCATGTCTAGTTTCAGGTCTAGGTCCCCTTGTTGTCCATATTTAAGTGGCTTTCCACAAACTTGAATATTTTGGATCAATTTCTTTTAAGACCGAACATAATCTGAAACATGCCATAGGATCCATGCACACATTGTAATAAAATCTTGTGATATTTTTTCACCAAAAACTTCACATGTAGAACATATCACCTTCGCACAAGGAGTATATCCAAGAGTAAATAACTTGGTTCATGATCCTAAGGAGATGACTACTTTGATGTCCAATGAGTGGACATGGACTTGGAGGTTTTTCCTAAGTTAAAATTTTATTGTTGGTTTCATAAAAATATGAAAAGCAAGAAATATCTTTGACCAATAAGCTGAGAGAACCAAAAAAATTAATTGATCGGATTATAAGAAAGTACACCTCATCAAATATGAAGTATTGACACAAAGCACAAAGCAATTCAAATTTATCAAAATAGTTCTTCATTTTACATAGTTTGGCTAATTAAAAACCAAAAAATCTAATAATCTGATAACCCCTCTACAATAACTAGTGCATTGCATAGAGTTCATAGACACCTAGATCACTCAAATTGATGCTTAAATGCTCCCAAAATAATCGAGCAAAATCTAGGCAGCTAAACTTGAGCTAGAAAGACCCAATTAGACCTATCAAGTCACCCTCTTAAGGGCAATAGTTACCACACACAAGGAAAAAGAGTTCAAATGATACTAGCATTTCTAGTAGCACCAACATCGACAACAACAAAGCTATCTGACTAGTCTAGCAAGGTCTCCGTATCACAAGCAAAAATAATGTTGTCATGTGCTTGTAATGCTTAATCCGCTATAGGGATTCTCTGACACCTTAAATTTATTACCCTTCCCATATCCATCATTTTATGTGCCATTCATCTCAAAATTCTTCTCTCAATGACCAAGAGAGACGTTGATCTATGCATAATGACCAAATATTTTTGCTCGTTTTTGTTGGGTTCATTAAGTGGTGATGAAACTTTTTGAAATTACTCCAGTTAATCAGGCCACCGAAACTTAGATCTTTCACACCAATGAACTCATGAGATTATTTCTTATAATATGGTATATTTGGATCGTTGATACAAGACAATGCTAGTGGCAATCTCCACTAGTTGCACTGAGGTTAACATAAAACGGACAAGCTTGTTGGGTTAGCTCGGGCTAACATATTGTTTAATTATAATCTCATCATTAAAGAGAGCATCTCCATCATACATTATTGATAACTACAAGAATATTAGGAAAATGATATCAATAATCATGAAAATTATAAATATATCCTAAAATCAATTCATTTATAGAGAGAGTTCTAAAGACAACCCTGCATCTCCCAAACTCTGTATCCGTTGTTATTGATGATGAATGTCATCATCTTCATTAAACTTTCTGTCAATGGGCGAATACACATCATCGTTATCTACAAACTTAACACCATAACCATTAACATTCTTGCAACATGACGACACTTTCTACAACCTAGCACTGATGCCATCTCCAATTGATCAGAACTGAATATTATGGAAAAAGAATAAAATGTATTATCAAAACGAAACATGTCTTCATAGAATTGAATAGCATGAATAAAGTCAGATGGTGATGCAGAGCATAGAAAATAGCCATCGATACAACTACTTTGATGGAACAAGACTGAAATAGTAAATGAGAGAATTCTCACTCTATATCCAGCAGATTGTTTGACACGAGAAAGAGGATGTGGAAATTCACTAGTTGGCCTGAAGAAAAATGTACAAAAGAAATATTTTAGATGATGAATTTATCAATTTGATGGAAAAAATAAAATAAAATAAAATAAAAGTGCAAAGGCTCTTCTTCTCCTAAAATGTAACTCATGGTGCAGAGCATTCAATAACCCAACAGCTGGAACTAAAGAAAAAAATAGTAAATTGCAGAGGGACAATGACTCACGTCCATGGCATTGTGAAGAATATATGGATTGGGACTTTTAATGCCTCTGCCACATGTGTGTGTCCTGAAAAAGCATTCTTCTGTGTCAGCAGTTGAATTTAAGACTTTCACTTGTGTTAAAAACAAAAACAATATTCAATCCCCTGGATGCAAATAACGTTAAGAAATATCAAAAGACATCATGAACCATTAATGATTAAATTATAAACTACATGCATCAGTACTGCAATAGTATTTCCTATCTGATTCACAAACAATTGCAGTATCCAAAATGATTTTAAAGATAAGCATAAATCAACTTAACATCAAACCCACAAGAAATATTAAGTCAATAAACAATTGAATCATGTACTAATTCTGGGCCTTCACAAATCAAAAACAGATAAACAATGAATTTGCTACCCAGGGTACATAATATGATTGAACTAGCTGATCGGTTGTTAAAATGTTTTAAAGAGATACAAGGAAAAATAATTTCAGATCCAACAATATGAACATTTCTATTAAAATATAAGTAGTTATCAATTGTTGTTATTCAAATCTGATGCAGGACTTTTTACTTATTCCTTACATTTTTGAGAAAGTTATTCCTATAACATTTAAAAATTCATATTTGGAATTAAATTTGCTGAGCAAAATCTATAGGCATGGATAAGGATAAAATTTAGAGTTTTCGTCTAGTTGCAGTTTTTACTAACTCATTCTTCTAGAAAATTATTGGTGAGATGATCTCAGTACTTTCTGCGTAATGAGTGCACTATGAGTTTCATATAATTACTACAGGCAAAATACACAACAAAATAATTGAGCTATGCTCACCAAACAATTTACCCATTCAAGAATCGAAGTATGATTAATCATACACTATAACAATGCAAAAGCAGGCAATACACTTCATTTCTACAACAAAACAACTACTGCAGGATATCTCTATATATCCCACATACCCTGTTATGATAATCTCTCTTGTAATGCATCGGTTAAGCATGATAAGAATAAAAATAGAAATAGAAACAGCAAGACACTGTATACGAAGCAAAGTTCATCAATGACCTACTACATTTGGAACTTCTACCACAATTACATGACAACCATTTCAAACCAATACAGAAAGATGAAGCTTTTTTTTAATGATAACCAAGCTTCTGCAATTTTAAAGATAAAAACTAGCGGATGGTACTTAGTTTTCAATATAAATGCAAACCAAGGTACATTTTACCTCATCCATATCTGCAATTATAAAAATAATAAATGACAAGTAAATCAGTTTAAACAGCTATACTTTCAGTCATTCAGCCCCAGGACCTATTAAAGCTTGGTGAGGCCTTGCTAATCATTTGTTAACCTCAATGGAAAAAAATCCTATGCGCTCCAACAATTCAAACCCCAGCCGCTTGCTAGGAGAGTTTAAGATGTGTTCTAGGTCAAATTTTTAGAAGGCAGATTAGATTGAACATCAGACACTACTTAGAGATTTTGTCTTTATTTTGTAAGAACTTTATAATCTAGCTCCAGGTTTCAATAGGTGTAGGCCCTATGATTAATCACCACTCCCGGTGACAAGAAAAAACTTTTTATTAAGACTGATTGTTGGATAAACACAAAGTATCGAGCATATAGTAGCAGTAAATTTGATATTGGATTTGAAATTTATTACCTTGCACTTAAAGTGAATAGTGGGGGCAATGATAATGAACCCAAGTAAGATCTCATTATTTCATCATCCCGACTTGTCATGATCTCTAGTAAGGAGGTAGTTGAAACAATATGACCAAAAGATTTGCTTAGCAATCATGAGTTGCTTCATTCAATGATACTTCGTAGATTTTGGGGTGGATGTTGTATAAAAGGATAAATTTGAGTCAACATTAGCTAACAAAGGCCATTATGTCTTATCAAGTATATTTTATAGTTTATTACTCAAGGATTTTAGCCATTAGAGAACATACAAGCCATTGTCAAGTATTTAATGGTGTCATTTCATTGCAAAGCCACCCGATCAGATAGCCTCAATCAAAATCATTTAACTATGGTGCCATTTGGGGGCAATACCGCTAGCTAGAAGACAATCGAAAGGGTGAGGTGATCAGTCAACAATTTTGGGGTTGTCGAAGGAGAGGGGAGAGGTCATGGTCAAAGGTGGTTGGGTTCGAAGAAGAGAATAGTGGCTAGGACCATTGTTGGGCATGTTGCCAACATATTTGAGTTGGAGAGGGTTGGAGAGGTGCATTTGAGTTGATGTGCAATGGCTGAAGGTTTGTGAGCAAGCAGTTCGAGAAGTTGTTCTTTTGCTTGGAGGGGGAAAAGGAGCAAAGATGGTGGAGTTGGGGTTTTGCACTATAGTGAGACGAAAAAAGGGAGCATACTAGTTGTGTGAACAAGAAAGGAATGTAGGTTTGGGGCTTTGTTGTGGTAGAGGCAAGGGAGGAGTGGGGCTAAAGTAGGATGGGCTGAGGGAGAAGAGAACGAGAGGGATTGAGAAGCAGAGGGCTTGCCTCATGCAAGACAGATGAGAGAATGAGTGAGTAATTGAGACTGATTGAGCGTGAGAGAGAGTGAGAGAGAGAGAGAGAGAGCTGAAAAACCAACTTTTTTTTTGGACAATAAAAACCAACACATGGTTTAAAACTTTGTTTGTTTGTTTCTTATTTTTTTTCTTTGTTCGATGTTTTTATATCTTCTTGAATAGATCTTAGAAAAAAATTGATATAAAAGTTCAAAGGATATAAGTGGTGAAAAGTTATGAATTCAGATAATTCTAATGTTTTAAATGAAAACTTTTCATGCACTTGGAGTTCAATTGAGTAAATTTCAATTTTTTTTATTTAAGAATAAAATTTTAATTTCTCTAATCATTCATCTTTATTTTCTAGAAATTTTAAGAAATAATTATTGAAATTCACTATCTACTAAATCTTCCATCAAATCCTCTATTAATTTGAAGCCTATGAGAATTTCATCTATATGTAATTTATAAACTTTTATTAATTACAAATCTTATAAGAAAATTTTTAAAATTGCCAATGTCGGTCTCAAATCCGGATGAAAAAGATTGAGGGTGGGTATTCTAAAGATCTATAATTTGTGCCCCCACAAAAGAAAAATGCTGGTGCTCCCAATGAAATTCCATCACAACTTTCACACATCTTCGTCATTGACCTTCATGTGTCACCAATTCCATTGCCAACGAGATCCACTCATATTTTCTACACCTATTCTTCATCATCGAGGGTTGACCTTCACAAGCCATCATTTATTATCAAGGTCATATGATGCCAATCCCGTCACCAACGAGATCCCACTACAACTTTACATCTCTTTGCCATTGAGGATTCCATGGTTTTGGGATTTTGAATAGGAGCGATGGTGGGATTATAGTGTGATATGTTTAGTAAATAGTAAAGTGTAGGTGTTAATATGTAAATATAATAGTTTAAGGTACTACATATGTAAATCCTCTTTTATTTTTGTAAATTTTACTTCTAGCACATGTTTTATTCACAAGAATGACCCAACAAGCCTCAAATAGAAAAACCTCATGTCACGAACAAGAAAAGAGTAACATCACCAATTGTGATTATATGTAAGCTGACGTCTCAGATGATTCATTTCACCTGAACTCCTTAAAATGATAGCTTGTCATTCTTTGAAAGCAAAGTATATTGCAGCCTTTCAGTTTCTTCTAGCAAAGTCCTATATGATAGACCTTTAAGTAAGGAATGAACATTATTGCATAGAAAAAAATTCTGAAGAAACCTTTGCCGTCAGTTCCTCTTCAAAAAAATAAATAAGCTTCGTTGAAACAGGTTTATTAAGGTGGCAGTGATTTGATTTATCAATGTAGGAAAAGGACAGCCATATTAGCAACTAAACAAGGAGCAGTTAAAAGCATAATTTTGTCGTTAAAACGAGACTCTAAGGCAAATTAAACAACAGACAATATGATAAATAACAAAAAGAAGCTGAAACTTAGACATACACTGATTTACACTAACCATAAGCTGGTGGATTTGCAATAATAGCTTCTGCTTTGAACGGAATACCAGTATCCATATCTGGCTCCTTGCAGGCTGAAAGCAAAGAAAATATAATTTCCTTCATTTGCTTACGTTGAATAGTTATCTCTGAAGGTGATGAAGGCAGAAATCCTTTATTCTTAACCATATCTGTTTATAGCCAAGTGTTACCATTCAATAAAAACCCAATCAGTACATGTAACTGTAAATACTTCCATCCATGTAAACTTCATACATTCAGCAAGGACTTTAGGGTCTCCTCCTAATGGGTAAAACTCAAGTCCAGCAGTCAATACAAACTCTTTAAAGTTTGCATGAGTTGCTAATCGGACACGATGTCCATAGTCCTGAAAGAAAATCGTAGCATAGTTATAGGAACATTCGAAGTTACAAAAACATTGACGTAAGAATTGAGAAAGCAGCATAAATTGAAGTACAACCAAAAGCTTGCAAAAGACATCCATCAAAAACGAAATCAACAAAATTCAAATCTGTGTATAGAATGTTGGAAGAAAATTTTATAAAGTTAGAAAAGAAACAATGTTATCAGTCTTTAAAAACTTTAAAAGTCAGGTAAATGAAACAGAGTAGCTTACTGCCCCAATCGCATGAGAACATTGTCTAGACTGACTAATCCTAAAGGAACTCAAGACCATCCACAATGAACTCGAGAAAAAATCCAATAGCTAATGCAAGAAACAAGATACAAAATACAGAGGAAAAGTATCTTTATATCATGATATGCAAAAATGCTGACATAACATGAGTAATCACTTTATGGAGACCACATGAATCTGTCTGTATAACATATAGTTGCAGAAGCTAACATAAGTGTCAACAACTTTAGTTCCATCAGAGGACAGCCAAATTTGCTCATAATTTTGCTCACAAAGAAAAGAAAAATCACTGTAACTTATTTTTTCTCTTGACTTTACAGGAGCACTAAATTTTCATTCTCTCTGACTTTAGTATTTCTAGTAAAGCCTAAGAGTTTCATTCTTCAACGATGAACAGCAGCAAAAGGAGCAGATTATTATTTTTCCTATGTTACAATCAAAGAATTTTTTGGAATGATTGGCGTGTTATTCAGTGCAAATGTGATAAGTTTATATATGCAAAATCATGTTCTGGATCAGATTCAGATATATGTTGTATCAGACAGCACCATAATTCTAATAGTGGACGTATGACTGCAGGATGTAGTAAGCTAATGGTGCATCTTCTATCAAGGAAGATAGTTAAAGCAGTTTCTGGTCTCTGCAACTCTTTATGATAGCTGCTTATTGTTGCAGCATATGCAGCAGCTTTCGAACCTCTCGAGCTTCAGTTTTCTCTAATCTAAATCATATATATATATATATAACTTCGAGTGCAAAAAGAATGATCAAAAGAGATCATTACTTCGGATACGATTGTGGTACTTAAATAGACAAATTGTTAGTCTTCCCAAAAAAAGTTTGTAAAGAGAGGTTATTACAAATTTAAAATTAAACCAAAATGACATGGGATAAAATGGTGTTTGAATTAAGAGTGAGACAATAGCATACTAGTTAAAACTGAATATCACACATGCTTATTTTGATGACAAAAAAAAAGCTAAAGTCACGCAAAGAGCATAGTCAACAAAACAAAAAGATAAATTTTTTTTATGATTTATATGATAGACTTGGTACTAACGAGGGAAAAATGTGATAAAAAAATAGATAAGATGAGATAAGAGATCTAGATATTTTGATCAAATCAGAACATAAAAAGCAAAGATAGTAGGATTTTAGTCAAAGATAAAGGCACCAAGGAAAGATGAAAAATGCTGCTTTTAGAACTTATTAAATGAGAGTTTTTAAAATATATATATTATTTCAAAAGAGAACACTGAACAATATTATAAGGTATATTATAGATTAGTTTAAAAAGTGAAATGGAGTTGGCTCTAATGAAGATGTATAAGGGGTGGCATTAGATCCAAATGAGACACCTATGGAGATTTGAATAGTTCATAAAATAATCACGGTTAACTATTAACAAATATTTTCAATATAATTTTGAATGATAAGAAGATCTGGATAAGTATTATCGTATTATTATTTCAGAACAAAAGCATGTTCAACATGGTGCTAATTACAGAGAAATCAAATTTATGAGTCATCTAAAAATGTCCCTCAACAACTTGATCTCTAATATTTGTGGCATTCTTAACATCTCCCAAGTGGAAACCTGTCTCAACTACTTGGGCCTTCCCATCTCTCATAAAAATCTTAAATTTACTCACTTTCAACCTCTCCTAAGCAAGATTTCTGCTCTACTTGAAGGTTGGAAAGTAAAATTTCTTTCTTTTGGAGGTAAGGTTCAATTTTTGAAGTTTTCCAATGCCAATACTATAGCCTATGATGCACCGACACTTCTCCTCAAAGAGGCATGCAGTGTCCGACACCGTGTCCGACAAGACACTCGTCCGACACTCCTCCGACACATGTCGGACACGCCGAAAACGTGTCTGATTAATAAATATTAAATACAAATTGGACATGCGTGTCGGACACGCGTATCTTAAATATTTTATGAATTTTTTTAAATATAATTTTTTGTATTTGGCGGGATTTAAAATAAATTTCTTATTTTCTATCCACAATACAAAATCAACGTCCGCACTTAATACCCAATCATCGAATATTCTCATTTTCATTTCTTTTTGGCAGTGAAGGTATTTTCATCTCCTCTATCGATGACTGATAAACGGCTTCGACGCCTGGCTCTTGACATCCTAATACTAATCATTTTAAGCACAAATTCTAGTTAAATGACTTATTATTTTCAAATTATTTTTAAAATTATACTTATTTAATTTTTATACATTATTTTTTAAATATAAAAACTATAATAAAATGTCCAAGCCGTGTCCGTGTCCTATATTTTCAATAACTAACGTGTCCCGTGTCGTGTCGTATCCGTGTCGTCGTGTCCGTGTCTGTGCATCATAGACTATAGCTTACTGGATTAGAGGTTTCATCATACCTAAAGCCATATGTAATGCTATCTCTAAACTCAACTCGAGGTTCCTATATCATGGAGAAGTTTTCCGACGCTTGATTTACCGTCAAAATCTTTTTCGCCGGAAATCTGCTGGAAAATTTTGAAATCAGCCGAAAAATTCAGAATTTTCTGCCGTAAATACACGATTTTCCTATAGTGAAGGGTGTCATCTACGAAGCCGAATGGTAGAAGGTGTTTTACCAATACTCCGCCCATGATAACCACTTGGTCCATAACTTGGGCAACTCCGACACAAAATATTGGAGATAGGTCTCCAAGCTTCTGTTGACCACTTCTGTTTGGTCATCCATCTGTGGGTGGTAGACAGTGCTCCTTTCAGAACTACCCCCTGTAATCTAAACAACTCTCTCTAGAAATAGCTGAGGAAAAACTAATCTCTGTCTGAAACTATTGCCTCTGGTAACCCATGCAATCTAGCCACCTCTCTGATGAAAACTGATGCCACTATCACTGCGGTGTATGGATGTCGTAAAGGAATGAAATGAGCATACTTGCTCAATCTTTCCACTACCACCAGAATCACTGTGAATCCTTCTGAACAGGACAACCCATCTATGAAGTCCATGGATACCTCTTCCCATCTCCGCCCTAGTAAAGCAAACGACTATAGTAACCTCCTGATGACATAGCTAAGTACTTGTTTCTCTGGCAGATCTCACGTTTGGCCACCATCTCCTCCACATCTTTATGCATCCCCTTCCAGTATAGCTCTGAGGCTAACCTTATGTATGTCTTTTGCACTCCTGAACGACCCCCCACAACGCTCCCATGCAACTCTTGGAGTAAGGATGGAATGTGGACTGAGGTAGGGGTATCACAAACCTCCCTTGATACAACAATCAATCCCCCTCCAATGAATACCCCGGGTGGCTACTCCCTTCCCTCAATAAATCAGCCTTGATCTTCCCCAACTCCTCATCCCTGACACTCTCCTCCTTGATGGCCTCCCAATCTAACATCAGTGGAATCGATACTGCCATCGCCTGCAGGTCTCTCATGCACCTGGACAAGGCATCTGCTGCTTTGTTCTTCACTCCTGGCTTGTATTGCATTTTAAAATCATACCCTAATAATTTGGACAACCACCTCTGATGTTCATCTATCACCATCTGCTGCCCCAATAAGTATTTCAAGCTGTGATGGTCTATCCTGACAATGAAGTGTCTACCTAACAGGTAATGGGCGCCACTTCTGGATGGCCAAGACGATGTCCATCAATTCCCGCTCATATACTGATTTCAGACAGACTCTAACTATTAACACCTGGATGAAATAGGCAATCGGTCGGCGACTCTGCATGAGTACTGCTCCCAGTCCATACCCTAAAGCATCTGTCTACACTTCGAAGACCTGAGAGAAGTCTGGTAAGGCTAAGACTGGCACCGTAGTCATAGCACTCTTCAGCCTCTCAAAGGCTGTTGTGGCCTCCTCGCCCCATAGGAAGCCATCATTCTTCAGCTGTTCTGTTAGTGGTTATGCTATAGTGTTGTACCTATTTATGAATCTCCTATAGTATTCCATCAGTCCTAAGAACCCTCTCAACTCTTTCGGGTTCTTTGGTAATGAACATCTCAACATAGCCTTAATCTTTGACTGATCGGCTGCCATCCCCTCCTTGGACACAATATGGCCCAAATACTCCACATTTGTCTGGGCAAAGCAGCACTTCTTAAGGTTGGCCCTCAGCTGATGCTCCTGTAATAGCTCTAACACCCTCCTCAAATGCTCCAGTGCTCCTCCTTTGTCCTGTTGTAAACTAGGATATCGTCAAAAAACACCAAGACAAACCGCCGAAGATAAGGTTTGGAGATCTTATTCATAAGTGATTGGAATGTAGCCGGGGCATTAGTGAGGCCATAAGGCATCACTAGGAACTCATAATTCCCCTCATGACTCCTAAAATCAATTTTTGGCACATCTTCCTTCTTCATTCTAATCTGATGATATCCTGATTTCAGATTTATCTTGGTGAACATCACCGCCCCACTCAATTCATCCAACAGTTTATCAATTACTGGTATAAGAAACTTGTCTGTCACAATTTCCTTGTTGATCGCCCAGTAGTCCACACAAAACCTCCAGCTGCCATCTTTTTTCTTCACTAGTAACACAGGACTGGAAAAAAGGGCTGATATTGGGTCTGATAATATCTGCCTCCAACATTTTTCTGATCAGCTTCTCAATCTCATCCTTTTGAAATTGAGGATATCGATAGGGCCTGACGCTGATGGGTGACACACCCTCCCTCAGAGTGATAGCGTGCTCTTGCTCCCTCGGGAGTGGCAATCCCTAAGGC